AACTATCTTATGTTTTAATTCAAGAATAAAGGAAAACTTCCTATAAAATAAAATATTTATATCAATTTAATAGAAATGGTTTGTGTAAAATGTTTGCATATATTTAACTTCCAATATTTGTGAATCGTCTGTACGGTATTTTTTGTCAGTTTATAAGAATAAATGTATTGTCAATTACATGAGAAAAATAAGTGGGCAGAGAGAGGGTGTCAATTAATGACAATCTTGATAATGATAATTTTAAAAAAAATATGGTAAAAATGCTTATGAAAAGAAGTAACTTGAAAAAAAGATGTTTCCAAGACCTTATTATATTGCAGGGCGACTGCATGGAAAAGGTTTTTTTTAAATATACTGAAAAACGCAGGGTAACATAACATGCGAAAAAAATTTGACTGCATAACCGAAAATTATGAAAACTGGTCAGAGGGATATCTTGGTAACTGGTCAGAGGGATATCTTGGTAACTGGTCAGAGGGATATCTTGGTAACTGTCAAAATGAAATAAGATTTTGGTTATTGTTGATTTTAAAATGAGTTTAAATGTTAGATAAAATACTGGTAAAAACGTTCTAAAAAGTGAAATTAAATCACATCTTAAGTTTACCCTCCGTTTCTTATTTCCTTTCAGTACATTTTTTTTTTTTTGGATGTTTCGGAAAAAAATCGAAGGAGATTGAACGCAGGGACAAACACATATACATGCAGTTCACAACTTTATATACATGTATTTATTCTTTTCTAAGCGAGTTTTAAATCGTTAAAATGTCTTTAGTTAGTAAGTATGCTAAATCATATTCATGTGCGAGGGATGTCCCCGGAAAACGCGAACATTTTCAATATCTTTTGTTTCACGACGACTCTCATACCGTGTTAAGGAATAAAGTTAAAAATAGCATACACCATAATCAACAATTTTTGATTAATGCATAAAAATTTCAATAAAATATCTCTACAAATAACATTTTTCTCTCAGGTATACGAATCTTACAAAATGGCTGTCGAATATTCATTGAATTACATGTAGGAAGATAACAAAGGACTGTATTGTTTATAATTTCTTTAAAAAATAGAAACAACGTTTGAACATATTCATATACAACAGACACTCCCAGGCATATTAAAGTACTTTGTGTATTTTCTACCAAAGATAAAAATAATTCATCTCTAAAGTTCATGACGCTGTATCTGTTTATCCTAAGTTTCAGACAATGGACAATCCTAATAAAATCGATTTTTTTTAATGAATTTGAAGGCAATCTATCCATGGACGATAAAGAAGCGAAGTGAAAACTTTGAAAAGACTACAAACGTAATTTCCTTGCTGAATTACTTCGCATTCAAATAAACTCTATATTTTACATTTACAACATCAAAACGGATGTATTTGACACTTAAAGGTAATGAATCTAATGAAAAGGCATGAAAACCTTTTGGGAATGCAAATTTCACCATAAGCGGAGAATGAAATGCCTGATCGCGGTAAAGGGCAAAGAGAAGAAAAAACCAATATGAAGAGATAATTAAAAAATGTTGACAAGTAGAAAAAAAGTGCGTGTAAAGGACGACATCAAAAGGAAAATAAATAATGTTATTATAACTGGGCTGTCTAATCAGAGGTGTTGAAAAAATATATGTCTATAATGCACTTAATTACTTTCTTTAGTCCAGGGGATGAACTAGATCGATACCATTCTTAGAACTAATTAGTGCTCTTAGTGGACAGCAGGATACATGTATAAAGGTGACTAACAGAGCTTTAAGGATGTTTTATGATTTTTAATTTCGGGTAAAGAACACGTGACAAATGAAATTAAGTAAAAACGTTTTTAACTCGTCAGATAAAACACACTGTAAAAAATAATGACAAAGGACTTAGAAATATGTTTATTAAATGAACACAAATTTCTTCACAGTCGGTATTTATAAATTTTTACAAAGAAAAATATTAAAACTTCTAGTTTTCAATGCCCTTTGTTCAAGAACTTTCTTCTTTCAAGCGGTAGATCCATATGATGAGAATAAGAATATTGTTACCAAGTCAAATGCCATCTTACATAATAATTGAAAATCGTTTACGTGTGTGTCATGAAATGATTATATTACACCTCGAGAACATCAAAAGAAGCGATCAATAAATTACTGTTATATGTTTAAAATGGTACTTAAACGTTGAAACGAATTTTTTCCAATATGAATTTCATACAACCTTTTGAATTGGAGAAGCTTTGACGACTCTCAAGTGTCATGCAATTATATGTTTTTATTGGATGTGTTCGAGGGTAACATTACGTGTCATGATTTGTTGGACCCTAGAACAGTTTGATTCGAGGGTTCGGCAAAACGCGTTAATATTTTGCCCTAGAACACCGTCAATAAATTTTATTATACCTTTTTTGTTTTTTTGACGTATCTAGCTCTAGCGTCTAGTATTGCACCGATAATCGGAGAACATCGAATGTCGTCGAAAGAATGCTATCGATTCCGATGATCAATTAGTATTTTTCATAATCTATCATCGGAAACGTTCTTCTTAAAAAATGGCTCGCTCTGTGATCGGTCGTGAGTTCGAATCTCGTCCGCGACTGACCTAAGTCGATAAAAAATGGGTAGCAACTGTTCCTTCGCCATGCGCTCGGTACTTTGAAGTGAAGGTTGCGGGTCCTTCGGATAAGACCTTAAAAACCGAGGCCCCGTGTCACGGCACACGTTGGCACGATAAAGAACCCTCACTGCTCAATGGCCCTGAGTGCCGAGTCAAAGTTTGAAGCCCTTCACCGGTATATGGTGACGTCTCTGTGTGAGTAAAAAATTCTCGAATGGGACGTAAAACAACATACAATCAATCAATCTTTAAAAATGCATTCCAGAATTATCCGTTACTGGTTTAAAATTTATTTTTTCGTAATGAAAGAAAATGACGTCTTATGTGTTACAAAGCCAACTAGTACAAATCAGAAGTCATTAAGAACCAGAAGATGAATGTATAAAAAGTCTAAAAGAGGCAAAACAACAAAGAAAACAATATATTTTACATATCCATAATAAAGAAATAATATGAAATACTTGAAATAGTCTGCTTTTTATATACAAAACTATGACATCCGAATATAATCGGTAAAATCGCATCGGAAGCAGTAACCGATTCCAGTGGCGGGTTTAAAGGGGGGGCGCTACCCCCTAAAATTGTCAAAGTTAGCGTAAAACATAGTTTCGTCGAGAAAATGTAAAAACGTCTACTCGGTAGACCTCATTTTTACCCTTTAAAATCTTGAGAATCCAGGAGTTCCTGCCTCCTTCTCCCCCCCCCCCCCTTAGCTTCAATTTCTGAATCCGCGCCTGGATTCCAACCGTTGATCGATTATGAAAATTAACCGATGTCCCATCACTACAAGCTTCCATATTTGGATGTATATTAAGGACTGTCTCCATCATGCTTAGCTCTGATCCTTCGACGCATTTGTCTTAGGCACCGCTTTTTTCAGCTCTTCAAATATTTTTTTAAATTTAAATATTTCGGATTTCCAACGTTTCGGCAGTAGCAAAACTGAAGAGACATAGTTTGTCAAAATGCGCATCTGGTGCATCAAAATTGGTACAATATAAGATTTACATTATGACCCCTGGGTCGAGGCCTCTGCTGGTGGACTGTAAGTGTCTCTACAGCCCAGTAGCCAAGTACTTCGGTACTAGCTTGAAAATACAGATATATATTTAATTGCTGTGGTAAAATTTACAAATTTATTTCAAAATTAAGGATTATCTCCCTCATGCATAGTTTTGATCCTTCGACGTATTTGGCTCCAGTCTTTGGCATTGCTTTTTTTAAGTTCAATTTTTTTTAAATTTAAGTATTTCGGATTCCCAACGTTTCGGCATGAGCAACACTGAAGAGACATAATTTGTCGAAATGCGCACCTGATGCATTGGTACCGTGTAAGATTTCTCTGGTTGAGAAATTCGGACAGACAAAGCATTTTGTGGAACTGGAGAGTCAGTTAAAAATTCTGCACAACTATAGCTCTCTGGTTGAGAAATTCGGACAGACAAAGCATTTTGATCAACTGGAGAGTCAGTTAAAAGAATTCGAATTCCTATATCGGGGGTCATGCTAAAATACACCTGTCGAATGAGATATGGAGAAAACGAACAGTGTTCAAGCTTATAGTCCACTTAAACAATAAAAATCAATAGCAGAGCATACACGGACTTCCAAAAAGCATCAGAGGCGGGATCAAGTGCCATGGAGGAGTAAGCATCCCCTGTCGACCGATCACACCCTCCGTGTGCTCCTTATCATGATCGGTTAAGTTAACTGCAGAACTGTAGCTCTTCGCTTGAGAAAATTCGGACAAGCAAAGCAGATATCAATCCGAATTTTCTCAAGCAGAGAGCTACAGTTCTGCAGCTACTCTCTTGTTTGCCTGTCCGAGTATATTTTTTCAACCAGAAAGTTACAGTTTTGCATCTGTTCTCAATGGCAGAACACCATCGAATGTACATAAGATATAAGTAAAGCTGATTCCGCCTACATTGAAGAATTAAAGTGAGGCTAAGAAACGTCATAGCGGTCCAACATCTCATCGACCAGTCCAACATCTCAAAGAGCGTTCCAAATCGACTTTTTGACCAATCAGGAAAACAATGGAAATCTTATACCTTCTTTAGTATAGATTTATAAAGGAAAAAATTTTTAAACTGATAAACAATACATTCTGCTCAGGAAAAATCTAGGAGTTGAAATTCCAGCATTTTTTACATAAAAAAGAAAAAAACATAGGTGTATTAATTGTTTGCGTTTCCATGTAAATCCGGGCCCCTTATACTAGATTTTAATGAAGAATTACTAGCATTTCTGTTGAATATCCTCTCAAGTTAGACTTGTCAATTATTGAGGTAATATAGTATATTAGATAAAATTTATGCTGTGTGAAAGTTATAGAAAATTTTAGTAAATAATTTCTCTATTCTAAGCAACTTTAATCTAATTGTGATTATAGGTAGCTGATATTTTATGGAAATGAACAATACGGATTGTCACAACGAGCAGATCGACTGCAGTGCAGATGAGGGTATACCAGGATGTCCACTGAAGACGTCCGATCTCATTGTTATCGCTATGTTGGCCGTATTCAGCGTCATTGGAATCATAGGGAATGGAATCGTCATTTTTGTGTACACGAAGAAGAAGGATAAACTCACGTCATCGGTTTTCATTCTTGGGTTAGCAGTGTATGACTTTTTGACCTGTTCTATTATAATACCGTATACTGCCTGTATGATATACCTAAGGTTTATGATTCTGTTCGACGCTCTGTGTAAAACTTACATGTTTTTGCTGACCTTCAGCGTACCACTCTCTGCGTTCTTAATGGTGGCTATTGCTGTAGACCGTTATCTCTGCATCTGCCATCCATTCTTGCATCTGTTGAATAAAACCCGGGCCAGGGCTGTTATCGGCCTGTTGACAGTGTTCGCTTGTGTTCTGGGTGTACTAAGCTGTATATCGTATTCTGTTTATGTGTATGCAGAATCGTCGTCTGGGGAGTTTTCAAACTGCACTGATGCGACACACAGTAAAGATAATATCGTTCAGCAAACAATTTCGACACCTTATCTTCAGGAGGAATATACTGGTCAGTGTAATTATCCAGGAACAATTGTGGGCATGGCTTACTTAATAACATGGCAGAAAATATATTCTTCGTTTTATTTGATATCCCTGATAATTGTGCTTTTGCTTTATATTATGATTTATTATTCCGTCACCCGACGAAGGTCCAACAGAAGAAAGCAAAAGGCTATGAATAACATTTGTCTTAAGGCCTCTCTCAAAGAACCACCAAGACAAACTACATCATCCCCGACTTCGTCATTCACCGTGCTGTCCGCTAACGACAACAACGAAAACACCAAAGAACAAAGGATACTACAGGTGGAAATAGGTGAAAATGGCATTTCCTCTCGACCAGTGGAAAATGCGGATGAGACGTCGCCTCTTCAACAGCAGCAGACTCATAAGAACCATCATCTCCATATCAGAGATCATGATACAATAGCTAACATTAAGACAGCGTTGATGCTCTTCATCGTTGCAGTTGTCTTTATCATCGCCTTTTTCCCTGCTTGGTTGATGGCACTAGGTGCCGTTACACACAACAACATTGTTTTTTATATGTACTTTGCTTATAATGTTACTAATCCTATCATTTATGCCTTTATGAATCCAACATTTAGAAGTGATGTTAAGAAGATATGTCATTAGAGCATAATATTTGGATATTTTTTGTAAGGACATACATGTAGTACTCAGTGTGATTTCTTGCTGGAGTGGTGTCCTTAGAAGGTTGATATGAACTGGTCCCATATCTATTAACCTTCAAACGACTCGACGTGAATTGTACTTGAAAAAAACATCTGTTGTCAGTATTATTCTATGTGTAGAGAAACCTGCTTAGTGATGTAGTTGGGTATGTAATTTTCGTTGTTAATTATTCAAAACAAAAGTATGGTACAATAAATTTCAAATTTTGAACTTTGGCTGCCACGCTTAACCTGTTTTCCCCACCAAATCGTCATTATGGAATTGTAAATATTTCTAGGATATGGAACTGTAAATATTTCTGGGTGTAAAGTTTCTCTTATTTTGTTTTACATTTATTCATTTTGACATTGACATTTATACATTTTGACATTGACATTTATACATTTTGACACTGACATTTATACATTTTATAACATTTTCAAAATCTCTAAAATTTAAATATCATTTTAGATTTAAAAATAACGTGACATTACAAGAAAAACAAAACTGAATTTGCCATATTTCTTTAAAAAATATCAAAGTTGTTGTCAATAAATAACACACCAATATTGATAGACTGACCTTAACATAATAGATGGTTTCTATGAACATTCAAGTCTTCTAACGATAACAGAAACGCTTTTTTTCCTAAATCATTAGCATTAAAAATTCTTGATTATTTTAAAATGTTTAAGAACTAATTATTTAAATTAAATTTTCCAAGATTTGTAACAAAGACCTTAGAGGTATCTCCCATCTTCCATTCAACTTTAAAATGACATATATATAGCTCATGTTTTTTTATTTCACTCACATTGATGACTTTTTATGGTTGCATGTTGCAAAATCTAATTTGAAATTCCCAAACATTTCATTCTGAAAAGAAAATACCATCATCTCTTTTAATAAACTTGTACCCTACAAGTGGTAGTCATCTACCCCCCTCTCAACCACTACCATCACCCCCATAGATGGCTGGTGCTTATTTAGGAAAAAGGTCATGTTATATAAGTATGGATATTTATTTGACTTTTTTTTCTTTGACATAAAATTAAGATAGGACATATATCCTTTTTCTTTAATCTGAAAGGTATTTCCCTAAGATTGTTTTCTTTAATTAATTTTTTTGCACCAGTCCTACCTTTATAAATATTGCATGTTTCCTTATGCTGATTTGAATATTTACTATAATACAGGATCGAGAGAAACCGGAATTAACTCCTTTCAATTACAGAATTATAGAGAGCATTTTCAAGTTCAGATACATGACAAATCTCTGTTCAATTGTAGAAACCTTTGACCTCAGGAAGTACTCACTTCCTAGATCTAATCTCTATTGAGATTCTGCTGGGCTAGATATTTGGACTGACGCCCACAGAATCTCTAGACAACCACTCATAATTCATGTCTGGAAATCAAGCCCCAACTTCGGCCGACTATAGCAAGAATTATTCACCTAGACCACACTGCCGTTCGCTTCAATTAAGTCATTTGGTTGTTTATTTGACTCTCTGTCACTATCATTTCCACATTGCTTACCGTTTAGGCATGTAAATCCCAACATAAAAATATTCACTGAAATCTCCGTTCAAAATATGGCTCCTGTGACGAAATTGTTTACCTCCTCGCATAAAAGAGTTCCTATAGTCCGTTTTCTTTTATGTGATGTTCAATAGCCATAGTAGACATTAGTTCATAATCACATAGGGTAAAAACAAACTATAGGAACTCTTTTATGTGAGGAGGTAAACAATTTCGTCAAAGGAGCCATATTTCGAACGGAGATTTCAGTGAATATTTTTATGTTGGGATTTACATGCCTAAACGGTAAGCAATGTGGAAATGATAGTGACAGAGAGTCAAATAAACAACCAAATGACTTAATTGAAGCGAACGGCAGTGTGGTCTAGGTGAATAATTCTTGCTATAGTCGGCCGAAGTTGGGGCTTGATTTCCAGACATGAATTATGAGTGGTTGTCTAGAGATTCTGTGGGCGTCAGTCCAAATATCTAGCCCAGCAGAATCTCAATAGAGATTATTCCTAGATCCAACTTATACTTAACTGTTCTCTTTCATAGGATGAAATTCTTCAAAATCACGTTTATTTAAAAAAAAAAATTTAACACTCCTGCCAATTGAAGTGAATTTGTTCTACCTTACTAGTTTAGAATAATCTAACTGCCTCGGGACAGGCCTTCACCACAGTTAGAGTGCCTCCCATATACTCGCAATAGCAGAAAATTGCAGAAACGCTCCGAAACGATTTTGGGGGAAATAAGTGGAGTTGCAATGAAAATTTTAAGAAATCAAATTCAGCATAACAAACCTTTTTGAAATTTGATACCTTTCATACAAAACATTAACTCATATAATCGACGATTTCAAAACTTTTTATCAACGATTTGTACTCTTTTCAAATGTACACTTCAAGTTGATATTTTGGAACTCACTGAAATCTTCATAGTGTATGCATTGAACAAGTTATCTTCCGTGTGTTCTTTGCAACATTGTCAATACACGGAAGGCATTAAACCGGGTCCATAGGGCCATCATTAAAAATATCTTTGTTTCCCCTAACCCGACCCTAAAATCTCAAGTTGGGTAGGTACGTAAGCAAATATTTTTTTTTGACAGCAGCTTTGAAAATACTATCTTAAAACTTAATGGAATGATATCTTTATAAATAAGTTAAATACAAAAGAAAGTGAGTTGTAAACAGCTAGAATACCATACAAATGCAGGTTAATTCACAACCATTATTCAATCGAACTATCTCATACCAAAGTAAATTTGTTAAAAATCGAATATATCTGTTTAAAAGATTCTCGGGTACGCAAAGACTGGACACCAGAGTATTTTTTATACCTACTATCAGCTTCCATTGCTTTGTACTTTTTCAAGTGCTTCGAATTGTGCAGTGGTTCTAGAGCATTTCGTTTTAGAGTCTAGAAGTAAGGAGCTATTTCTAAGTTGCAGGTTCAAATCCCCATGCGGGACGTTGAGACCAGTTCTTCGAATGGCACAGTAAAAACTTAGGTCCAGTTACGCATTAGATACTGGCACGGGAAAAACAATCCTCACTGCTCATGGCCTTAAGTGCCGCGTACAATTCTAAATTTGGGGTCCTTCACCAGACAAATGTTTAAATAAATGTTGTCCCAACAATTATCAAAGAGATTCAAATCAAAGAAACATCCAATCTTCCAGGGCCTTATTAAAGAAAAATACACGGACGTCTCAGGAAGCTTGTATCATAATTTCAAATCTATTTGGAAAAAGCATGTTAACAATATTTAATTGAGGCAAACAATATCTAAAAATGATAACATGTCATACACAATGTCAAAGTTACGAAGTTTAACCCATGATTAAAAGGCAGGAATAAAGGACATTTGAATTCTATTCATCAGGATGAAATATGCAGACTTATTTACAACTCCTATGATCCCATATAGTAAACATTGGAATATTGATGAAATGTGTATAAGATCAAAACTTAAATTAAATAAAATGCAATGAAACTGATTGGTGCTTTCACAAGGTGGGCCCCGTATCTGCTAAAGAGGGGTATCATGAGGAGGGCCTATGTCCCTAAGCATGCTCTCTACGTACCTTAATTTTAAGACAGGCTAGTAAATACAACCCAAACACTTTCAATTAGTCATTGGATATTATATTTTATAAACAAAGTGTTTCAAGAGTGCAGGATTCTACTATGCTAAAGGATAAGGTTGATGCGTTGCCTTTCTTTTAAAAATCGAACTAACCCTCCGTGACCATATGTTGTAGGCGCTATTTTGTTTCCAATAAACGCTTGAAAATCACAGAACAAAATCATTCGATCTGATTAAAAATAAATTTGATGGAATTTTATTTTATAGAAGTTGATAAACATTTAAAAGAAGTATTTGAATAATCTTAGGAAAAAAAACTTTCCAGTCGGCGCGTTTTAATTGGGTCGGTCGCGTTAGGGGAAACAAAGGTATTTTTTATTTTGGCATAGGGCATTTATCATTTTAACGATTGAACATTCTATCTATAACCTTACATATACATGTACGGGATTCCAAAACTTTTTTTAAAAATCCTTACAACCCTATCCCCTATCCTTACTCCTCGCCAAAATATTAAGGTACTGTACGTTAACAAATTCAAGAAGTGGTGTAAATCAAATATGGAATCTCAAAACCTCAGAATTTAAAATCGCAAAACTGTTTTTTTTAATAAATAACATCAAATATAAGACGTTTCAACGCTTTATGCAACCATTTCTCTTGAACAATCAAAAGAGCGAGCAGGCTTTTGGAAATCAAAGAAAATGCTTTCTCAATAAATTTCTTGTGATGGATACATACAAAATCACATTATTAAAATCTTTCTGATTCTTCTGCCAAGTGCTCAGAAGTTGATATAGTTGATATTAAAAAGACGATGAAGTTCCTCATAAAATAATATCTGTGAAGTCTTTGGAGGCCATGTTTCCCACACTGTTGAAATTCCGATGAACAGTATAACGTGCTCCATTATTATTTCTTATTATATATTTGTTGTATAATACAGGATTTTTGCATCCCTGATATGAACACAGGTACGCGCCCGGTCGCCCGCGTGGCGCAGTGGTTAGAGCGTCTGCTCTAGAGTCGCGGCGTGAGGCGTTGATCCTTACGTCGCGGGTTCGAATCCCACTGTGGGACGTGGAGACCGGTCCTTCGGATGAGACAGTATAAACCGAGGTCCCGTGTCGCAGTAGGTGCTTGCACGAAAAAAGATCCCTCACTGCTCAATGGCCGTCAGTGCCGAGTATAGGACAAAATTTACAGCTCTCCACCGGCAAGTGGTGGCGTCTCCATATGAGTGAAAAATTCTCGAAGGGATGTTAAACAATATACAAACAAACAAAAGGTACGCTTCCTGTATTATACACCCTGTATCAGCACCCTTTATCACACCTTTCCGGAACATCTCTATTTTTTTTTCATTCGGAGTACCTCGGATCTTTTCCTATTTCTTTCAAAAGTTTATTTCATCAGACATTTTATGTTATTCAAAATAATTGTTTAATTTATAATAATTTCATTTCTTTTTGCTGAATGCATTGCCTTTGAAAAAAAATGAGGAACGGAAATTCGACAGAAACGGAACACATTCAATTATTAAAAATTCAGTAATTAATTTAGAAGTTTATATATGATTTTTAAACA